CTTGATCTGGTGGCCTTTTTCTCTCTCTCCTCCCACTTTTTTCCTTCATGAACTTCAAAATTGTCCAATCTTGACCAGTTAATTTGTATTTAAAAAAAGTGAACGTCTGAATTACATTAGAAGCGTAAAAGAGGAGACAAAATGTCTGGCCATCTAAGGATTTGACCAGATAAAACCTATTTTTGACCGGCCGTTATTTCAGGCCCTGTAATGGGATGGCATCCAAGTGGAATTTCAAATAATAATAAATTTTTGATCAAGGGAAAGAAAATTTAGTTTGAGTTAGAGGGGAGTGCGAGTTAGCGGGGAGATTGGTAGATTGGTAGATGCCAGTCAACTGTAATTAACAGCAAATAAAATTATTATATAATATAACATGCAGTTGGAACAGAAATTCTGACTGTGCAAATGTTATATTGAGAGGTCATAAGTGGTTTTTGTTGACAGACATCACTTTTGACGCATAATAACCATTTACTAAAGGTTTCAGTTTGTTTTGTTTTCTCCAAAATGCCCAGACCTAAATACATGTAACTGCATGAAGTTGTTATATCCACGAATTTTGTCACTCTACAGATGTAGGCCCAGATCCCAGTTGTTGAAAAGCTGGATAGAGCTATCCATCAGATAAATCACTGTCCAGCGAATAAGTATTTGGAAAACTTGCCTTATCCATTGGATAGTGATTTATTTACCGGATAGTGCTATCCACCTTTTAAACTACTGGGGCTTATTCTTTAGCGTAGTTTGAACGATTTTGAATTCTTGGGGATAGTTATTTTACTGATCCAAATCCAATAGAAACAATTGTAGCTTAAACTAAAGTTATGTTGATGATAGAAAATTGCACTGTGACTCATTCCAGGCCCCAGTTGTTCAAAGGGTGGATAGCACTATCCACTGGAAAACGCAATTAGTTTTCGTAATACTTATCCATTGGATAATGATTTATCTGGTGGATAGCGCTATCCAACGTTTGAACAGTGGGGCCTAGATTGTTATTTCGTACTGATTCTGTCCATTTTGTTCTTCTGTAAACATTAATGTTATATAATAGACTGGAGTATGACATTAAATACTAGGTGATTTCTCGTTAATTGGTGATTACATGTACTTTTAGACTACATGTAGGTTAACATTAATTGTCTAGTGACTGTTCTGTGTCAAATGCCACTTTTTTATCACCCCAGCCATGGTGCAGTCCTACATGTATCTCCCTACTGCATGACATGCAGTGAGTGCATGTTGTTTGTGACAAAAAGAAATGGCAATACAAAGCCAATTATTTCTGACAATATATTGTTGAGATCCAGGATCTGAACTTTATTTAACAAGCATAGTCCAAAATTCAGGTCCCAAAAATGGAGGAAATGGTAATCCACTGCAATTGCAGAATCTTCAAATCTGCTAGAATTTTGTTCTGAATCCAAAATCTGGGCAAAAATCTTTTCAAAATGTGATCTGTTGGCCCATTCACCCCTCTCAGTAAGTAAGCTACTAAAATTGAGTGGAAGAGGGTTCTCAATAGAAGCCGGCACCCAGTGATTGATCACTGCCTACTTTGGAATTTGTACATGTAACTGCTTACACCATGTATTTTGCATTCTATTTGCTGCTTTTCCCATCCTAGTTTATGGTCCTTCTGTTTGTCACTGCCACCATGCCTACTTCAAATCCTATTGAGAACCCTGCTGGAACATTATTGTTTTTATGTGTTAAGTTTGCCCAGTATATACACTTGTTAATTGTAAGAATTTAACATAAGGAGTGATCAGAACTCACTAACAGCAGTATTTAAATACACTCCCTCGGATCTGCTCAATAGGCCATTTCTGAATTCTGAAAAACTCTCACTTTCAAAACAAGGATAAGTGCAAAACCTTTGTTGTGAAATTGAGACTTATTTGCGTGATAACTAAAAAAACTCCATATCAATGGCTTCGCACTTAGCCTTCCTTTGAAACAAAGGGCTGAGGCAACTTGGCCTATTACTTAAGACCTTACTAGTTTGCTGACGTGTCAATTTTGGTGTGACAAGTGCAGTAGAGTCATGCTGTTAAACACCACAGCTGTGACCATATCAGCATAGAGGTACAGTGTAGCTTAAAAATACTTTAATAGTTGTTGCTGTTAAATTTTTTAACCTTTTTTTTTTTTTTTTGGTCTTATTACCATAGTCTGAGGCAAAGGGAAATAATTCTAAATATAATTTAAGAATTTTCAATCAGAGATAAATTTGAATCGCAACATAATATCTCACCATCATGTTAAAATAAATTTTTTGTTTTAGCTGGGTCTCTGGAAGGGCCCCTGATGGTAGAATCCAGCATTACATGCTGAAGATAAGAAGCTGATCTGGCTGAGAAAAGTGCAGACAGTCGGTGTGGCAGAATTGTTCAAGATGATCAAGCTGCTGGCTTATTCTCAGTTCATGGATGGGTTGTCACAAGACCTCTACAAAAGCAGCTTAATAGCACTAAATCAGTGAGACAGTGTTGATGACACATGTCTTGTTCAAAGTGATGTCAAGGATTGTGGAGAGGAATGGAGTAATATGTCATGATAACATTTAGCTGAAAGAATGAACAACATAACCCATCAACCCTTACTCTACTTTACTATCTTTAATGTATTTAATTTGCCCTTTGAATGTGGCCATTCTTAGTGACATATCATTCTTTTTGTTATGAAAAAAACACTTGACTAAAACACCCGGAAGTTTTTAGATTTATACCCTAACTGTAACTGCATTCAGTGACAAAATTGTTGAGACATCGTACTCAAATAGGGTAACTACAGAGAACAAAAGAATCCACACCCCTCCCCCATCCCCTCCATTCAAAGTTGGGGTGTTTGTTGTTTTCTATAGGTAGCTCGAACAGTAGCACAACGTTGCATGGAGGGGATGGGGGAGGAAAAGCTTTATTTTCTCCTTTGTAAGTCAGTAAAAGTGATGAAGCCCCTTTAGGGCAAAGTTTGTCGACTAATTTTGTTGCCAATTTTGGCCTCTGATTGCAATCCTTGGGTATTTTATTTCAAGGATTCTGACAACTATCCACTGATTCTTCCTGATTTAATCAGCACATTTTTTCAACTGTATAAGTTTGCACATATGTTGTATGAATAAAAAGGCAAAATTTTGAGTGTCATCAATATTACACTGGTGTATCTATGACTACAAACTATTTTTAAAAAAGGATGAATGATTTCAAAATTATTTGTTGATGAAGACAGGAAGAATGCAAGATTAACATGATCTTTACTACTGTAAATCCTCTATTGAGCTTTCCCTCTCAAGTAAGGCCCTCTCTCTTATAAGCCCCACTATGCAGGGAAGGAAAGTAAATAAGCCCCCCCCCCCCACCCCCCCCCCCGAAAAAAAAAATTGGCAAAATTGTTGTTTTGTTTCATTAGAAACGTTTGTGAAATCAGCGCAAAACCAATTGCTTTCAAGCGAAATTGGCTTTAAAAATTTCTGCAAAATTGGCTTTTTTAACGATCATTTTTTGGCGAAATTTGTCCCGAGTTTTTCCGCCAAATTCCCACGAAATCGGCTGTTTTTTCCGGGAATTCATCTCTGAAAATCCCACAAAATTTGGCTTTTTTTCCACGACATATCAGAGGCCCTGTGTTATGAACGGTTTACATTATAAAAGTTCTTGATCTGGTGGCCTTTTTCTCTCTCTCCTCCCACTTTTTTCCTTCATGAACTTCAAAATTGTCCAATCTTGACCAGTTAATTTGTATTTAAAAAAAGTGAACGTCTGAATTACATTAGAAGCGTAAAAGAGGAGACAAAATGTCTGGCCATCTAAGGATTTGACCAGATAAAACCTATTTTTGACCGGCCGTTATTTCAGGCCCTGTAATGGGATGGCATCCAAGTGGAATTTCAAATAATAATAAATTTTTGATCAAGGGAAAGAAAATTTAGTTTGAGTTAGAGGGGAGTGCGAGTTAGCGGGGAGATTGGTAGATTGGTAGATGCCAGTCAACTGTAATTAACAGCAAATAAAATTATTATATAATATAACATGCAGTTGGAACAGAAATTCTGACTGTGCAAATGTTATATTGAGAGGTCATAAGTGGTTTTTGTTGACAGACATCACTTTTGACGCATAATAACCATTTACTAAAGGTTTCAGTTTGTTTTGTTTTCTCCAAAATGCCCAGACCTAAATACATGTAACTGCATGAAGTTGTTATATCCACGAATTTTGTCACTCTACAGATGTAGGCCCAGATCCCAGTTGTTGAAAAGCTGGATAGAGCTATCCATCAGATAAATCACTGTCCAGCGAATAAGTATTTGGAAAACTTGCCTTATCCATTGGATAGTGATTTATTTACCGGATAGTGCTATCCACCTTTTAAACTACTGGGGCTTATTCTTTAGCGTAGTTTGAACGATTTTGAATTCTTGGGGATAGTTATTTTACTGATCCAAATCCAATAGAAACAATTGTAGCTTAAACTAAAGTTATGTTGATGATAGAAAATTGCACTGTGACTCATTCCAGGCCCCAGTTGTTCAAAGGGTGGATAGCACTATCCACTGGAAAACGCAATTAGTTTTCGTAATACTTATCCATTGGATAATGATTTATCTGGTGGATAGCGCTATCCAACGTTTGAACAGTGGGGCCTAGATTGTTATTTCGTACTGATTCTGTCCATTTTGTTCTTCTGTAAACATTAATGTTATATAATAGACTGGAGTATGACATTAAATACTAGGTGATTTCTCGTTAATTGGTGATTACATGTACTTTTAGACTACACTAACAGGATGTTGGTAATACCCTAAACTTTCGATAGTGAAAGTAGCAACCTTAACTTTGAAGTATTTCGCTTAACTTTTGCAAATTTCACTCGTTTGACCGCTGTGAACCCCTCGGTACATTTGAAAATCAAGATAGCCGAGACGGTAAGACGCGGTATATCTAAACGATCTCACAAAAAAATAGGGGACTGTTAACAGTCCATAACGAGTGGCTATGGGGACCAGTTCCCGCTCGATCCATCCCATGATGCATCTCACTCACAGCTACACTATAGCAGGCAATGATCGACATGAGTACAGTATGCACCCGATTTTGATTTTGTTTTTTGCTTTTAAAGAAGAAGGAAAGGCTATTGAAAAACGGAGGAAGTCAAACCAATGGTAAGTCCAGATGCTGTTAGTATCCAGGTCATTTATAAATGATGTTCAATATGCAAAATCTTTGCCTTCTGACGTGGACAATGCAAAGTCAAATTCTAGGCTTTTTGAGAGCTTTTGAAGATTGCTCGGCTATTTCTATTTCGGCTATTTTTCGCTATTGAAATGTCGACAGATGCTTCGTCCGCATGCACTGTTTTAGCTGTAAAATTTTTGTATTATACAGGTACAGTAGAAACCCGGTAACTTGAACTCTGAAGGCAAGCAAAAAAACAGTTAATAGCGAGGGTTCGAGTTATCGGGGTCGATTGCAAAATTCAATCTGCAAAATTGATAGTTGCTGATTTTTTCAGTACCTAGCGTAAGCTTATTTAGTGCAGTGCGAATTTCATCAGAAACGGTAAAATGATAAACCGTATTTTTTAGTGATAAAACGTGATCTGGACGAGTTGACTAGTGTTATTTTTAGTGTTGTTACCCTTGACTTGTAGGAACTAATGCAGGGCTTGAAATAATAGGGAATTTAGGATAGTTCACTGGGGCCATGACGGTAAGAAGGCGCGAAATTTTTCAATGTAAGATCGGACAACAAAACAGAAGACGTCATGATGTGCGAAACTCACTTGTAATTTCTTTCACAGAAGGCTCAATTACTGAAGAAGAGTTTCTTATTTTATACGAAGAATACCAATCAGAAGAGTAAGGGTACAAATTAAAGCTAGCTAGTGTTCAGAACTAGTCAATGCTTTTATTTGAACTTTCCGTTCCTAAGCCAACACCTTTTGAGTTAAAGAAATCTTTTCTTGATAAAAATACAGTTTTAAGTTAAAAAAAAAAAGACAGCTACAATTATCACTTTTAGTCCCAATTCAAAAGTCGAACTTCTCATGTGCCGAATTTCGGTAGAAATCTTACCAAATACATGTTAGTTCAACATATTTGAGATTTATCTCGGCTAATGGGGCTGTTTTTGCCATAAACTTGCAAATTTATCTGAAAGTTCATCACTGTAACAAGAAAACATCCCAAAACTGCCAGGTGTTCGTAGATTATTACTGCAAAAAACTGGGCTCTGGCCAGTGCATGATATAAAAAGCTTTGCCATGGGTGCATTTCTGAAACCATTGTTGTTAAAATAGCAAATGATGATCTCTGATTAAAAAATAACCTTTTGCGAGACAATACCAAGTCCAAATGAGATCGCAAAGCAAGCGGGGGTTTTGAGCACAAAATCACCGGTTTTAAAAAGGCAACATTTCATTTAAAAGTAGTTGATGTTTCTGTTGTAGTTGTTATTGCACAGGCTAATGCTCATCATTCCCCCCCTCCTGCCCCCCCCCCCAAAAAAAAACAAAATTGGCAAAATTGCCAATTGTTTCATTAAAAACGTTCGTGAAATCAGCACAAAACCAATTGCTTAAAGAAATTTCTGCAAAATTGGCTTTTTTTAGCGATCATTTTTTGGCGAAATTTGTCCCAAATTTTTCTGCCAAATTCCCAAGAAATCGGCCGTTTTTTCCGCCAATTCTTCTCTAAAAATCCCACGAAATTTGACTTTTTTTCCACGACCTATCAGAGGCCTTGTGTTATGAATGGTTTACATTATAAAAGTTCTTGATCTGGTGGCCTCTTTCTCTCTCTCCTCCCACTTTTTTCCTTCATGAACTTCAAAATTGTCCAATCTTGACCAATTGTATTTAAAAAAAGTGAACGTCTGAATTACATTAGGAGCGTAAAAGAGCAGACAACTAAGGATTTGACCAGTCAAAACCTATTTTTGACTGACCGCTATTTCAAGCCCTGTAATGGGTTGGCATCCAAGTGGAATTTCAAATAATAATAAATTTTTGATCAAGGGAAAGAAAATTTAGTTTGAGTTAGAGGGGAGTGCGAGTTAGCGGGGAGTTCGAGTTATTCGAGTTCGAGATATCAGGGTACTACTGCAGAATATTCTTCATGCCAAGAGGGAAGATAACTATTAGATATCAATAATATTGATTAATTAATTTGATTATCGATGGACAATTGATCACAAAAGTATTTTATGATTATCAATTTTCATGGGAATCGATAAATTGATACATTCACCTTTCAATGAATTTCATCATGGGGGTCATTGTTTTGTCCACCAGCATCAATTTCAACAAAATAATTTATGTCATCTCAAACATTGTTAAGTTTACTGAGACATGAATTTTTTTTTTAAATTCACGTTTGTGTGATTATCAATAATATTGGTCTTCGATTGGTAGAAACCAGTCAATTGCAATTTACAGCAAATAAAATTATTATATATAACATACAGTTAGAAGAGAAATTCTAACTGTGCACATGTTATGTTTGCCACTTGTTTGATATTGAGAGGTCATAAGCTGTTTTTGTTGACAGACATTACGTTTGATGCATAATAACCACTTAGTAAAGGTTTAAGTTTGTTTTGTTTTCTCCAAAATGCCCAGACCTGAATACATGTAATTGCATAAAGTTGTTATATCCACACATTTTGTCACTCTACAGATGTAGGCCCAGATCCCGGTTGTTGAAAAGCTGGATAGAGCAACATGTATCTATGAGATAAATCACTGTCCAGCGGATAAGTATTTGGGAAACTTGCCTTATCCATTGGATAGTGATTTATCCACTGGATAGTGCTATCCACCTTTTAAACAACTGGGGCTATCTCTTTAGCATAGTTTGAAGGATTTTGAATTCTCGTGGATAGTGATTTTACTGATCCAAATCCAGTAGAAACAAATGTAGCTTAAACTGAAGTTATATTGATGTCTCTAATGGAAAATTGCACTGTGACTCAGTCCAGGTCCCAGTTGTTCAAAAGGTGGATAGCACTATCCACTGGAAAACGCAATTAGTTTTCGTAATACTTATCCATTGGATAATGATTTATCTGGTGGATAGTGCTATCCAACTTTTGAACAATGGGGCCCAGATTGTTATTCCGTACTGATCCTCTCCATTTCGTTCTTCTGTAAACATTAATGTTGTCTAATAGACTGAAGTATGACATTAAATACTAGGTGATTCCTCGTTAATTGGTGATTACATGTACTTTTAGACTACATGTAGGTTAACATTAATTGTCTAGTGACTGTTCTGAGTCAAATGCCACTTTTTTATCACCCCAGCCATGGTGCAGTCCTACATGTATCTCCCTACTGCATGACATGCAGTGAGTGTTGTTTGTGACAAAAAGAAATGGCAATACAAAGCCAATTATTTCTGACAATTGTTGAGATCCAGGATCTGAACTTTATTTAACAAGCATAGTCCATAATTCAGGTCCCAAAAATGGAGGAAATGGTAATCCACTGCAATTGCAGGATCTTCAAATCTGCTAGAATTTTGTTCTGAATCCAAAATCTGGGCAAAAATCTTTTCAAAATGTGACCTGTTGGCCCATTCATCCCTCTCAGTAAGTAAGCTACTAAAATTGAGTGGAAGAGGGTTCTCAATAGAAGCCAGCACCCAGTGATTGATCACTGCCTACTTTGAAATTTGTACATGTAACTGCTTACACCATGTACTTTGCATTCTATTTACTGCTTTTCCCATCCTAGTTTATGGTCCTTCTGTTTGTCACTGCCACCTACTTAAGGTTGGGCAGATGCCTACTTCAAATCCTATTGAGAACCCTGCTGGAACATTATTGTTTTTATGTGTTAAGTTTGCCCAGTATATACACTTGTTAATTGTAAGAATTTAACATAAGCAGTGATCAGAACTCACTAACAGCAGTATTTAAATACACTCCCTCGGATCTGCTCAATAGGCCATTTTTGAATTCTGAAAAACTCTCACTTTCAAAACAAGGATAAGTGCAAAACCTTTGTTGTGAAATTGAGACTTATTTGCTTGATAATGAAAAAAACTCCATATCAATGGCTTTGCACTTAGCCTTCCTTTGAAACAAAGGGCTGAGGCAACTTGGAAATGGCCTATTACTTAAGACCTTACTAGTTTGCTGACGTGTCAATTTTGGTGTGACAAGTGCAGTAGAGTCATGCTGTTAAACACCACAGCTGTGACCATATCAGCATAGAGGTGCAGTGTAGCTTGAAAATACTTTAATAGTTGTTGCCGTTAAATTNTCTTATTACCATAGTCTGAGGCAAAGGGAAATAATTCTAAATACAATTTAAGAATTTTCAATCAGAGATAAATGTGAATCACAACATAATATCTCACCATCATGTTAAAATAAATTTTTTGTTTTAGCTGGGTCTCTGGAAGGGCCCCTGATGGTAGAATCCAGCATTACATGCTGAAGATAAGAAGCTGATCTGGCTGAGAAAAGTGCCGACAATCGGTGTGGCAGAATTGTTCAAGATGATCAAGCTGCTGGCTTATTCTCAGTGCATGGATGGGTTGTCACAAGACCTCTACAAAGGCAGCTTCATAGCACTAAATCAGTGAGACAGTGTTGATGACACATGTCTTGTTCAAAGTGATGTCAAGGATTGTGGAGAGTAATGGAGTAATATGTCATGATAATATTTAGCTGAAAGAATGAACAACATAACCTATCAACCTTTACACTACTTTACTATCTTTAGTGTATGTAGTTTGCCCTTTGAATGTGGCCATTCTTAGTGACATATCATTCTTTTCATTATTAAAATAAAGACTTCACTAAAACACCCAGAAGTTTTTAGATTTTTACTGTAAATGCAATCGGTGACAAAATTGTTGATACATCATACTCAAATAGGGTAACTAAAGAGAACAAAAGAATCCACACCCCTCCCGCTCCCCTCCATTCAAAGTTGGGGTGTTTGTTGTTTTCTGTAGGTAGCTCAAACAGCGGCACAACATTGCATGGAGGGGATGGGGGTGGAAAAGCTTTATTTTCTCCTTTGGAAGTCAGTAAAAGTGATGAAGCCCCTTTAGGGCAAAGTGTGTCGACTAATTTTGTTGCCAATTTTGGCCTCTGATGGCAATCCTTGTGTATTTTATGTCAAGGATTCTGACTACTATCGATTCTCCCTGATTTAATCAGCACATTTTTTCAACTGTATAAGTTTGCACATATTTTGTATGAATAAAAAGGCAAAAGTTTGAATGTCATCAATATTACACAGGTGTATCTATGACTACAAACTATTTTTAAATCAATTTGTCGCTGAAGACAGGAAGAATGCAAGATTAACATGATCTTTACTGCTGTAAATCCTCCATTGAGCTTTCCCTCTCAAGTAAGCCCCTCTCTCTTATAAGCCCCACTATTCAGGGAAGGAAAGTAAATAAGCCTCCCCCGCCGCCCTCTTTTAAGCCCACTTCCTCCTTATTATACTTCACAATGAAATTAATAGTGATGTACTGTATTAATTAATCATGACTGACTGGTATGGTTTATTCATGGCTAGAAGGTCACATTTGTTTAAAATCGTAGGTTGCATGACCTCCAACTTCTTGCACTTAAGCTTCTTCACTTTGTGCTCTAGTTCTTTATGGCAAACTGATACCATCATCTTCGCTAAGTTAAATAAGCACCGGCCCCTTTCTCAAATAGCCCCCCCACCCCTCCTCAATCAAATGTGCCAAAAATGAATAAGCACCTGGGGGATTTAATAAAGGAGTTGTGATATTGATATTGCAAAAAAAAAGAAACAGACAAAATGAATGAAAAGAAGAAGCCCCACTGTATAGATATCTGTCACTGAGATATTACAGAAAAAACAGTTTGCATAGAACACATATGTAGCTACTTTAATTTGCAGCCTAACTATGCATGAATGCTTTCATTACTGTAAAAGGTGGACAGATTTCTGACTTAAAACAAAGACCAAAAGGCTAAAACAGTGGGTGAACTTCAAATTTAACACATTTTTTTTGCTTTTTTTGTTACATCATTTCATTGTATATCTGGCACCAAAATTGCTGGTCCTCTCAAACATTTTTAGGAGGCCCAACTTAAGTAGGGGAATTGAGACAGGTGTTAGGGGAGTTCAGCCTGCAAAAACTCCTCCACAAAGAATTTGGCCAATTTTGGATACATTTGTTTCATTGACACATTTGTAATTTACATCTATGTGATACATAATGACAAGTGCAACAATTTATACTTGACAGCTTTAACAGTCTGATGGCTATACTGCTTACAGGATAAAATTTTCACAGATTGGGCCAGGAACATCTCCTCTTTCTTCTGTTAGCGGTGCCTACAGTTGTAAGTTTTTCAAACTATATTATGGAATATATTTATCTATCTTTTACCGGGAAAGAAGCCTCAGTGAAATACAACTAAACAAGTAAATTCCGGTTTTTTGCTTCTACCTTCTTCAAAAAAAAAAGAAAAAAAAAAAGACAACCCTTCTCTTTTTACACAACAATATTTTTTAAAGTGAAATGTTAATGTTAGAGACTTGGAATGTACAGTCTCTGTTGGCTTTTCTGCCTGAAAGCTATTCTTGGTTTCAGATCAGTTCATAGCAAATGAAACTACCTTTACTGACCTCTTGTTGAAACACTTCATAATTGAGTTTATATTTTTCTGTTACTGGTTCCAGTGAAGTTGCCAATACAACAGTCCCAATACCTGCAACCTTCACTAAAGGTGTGCACTCATGACATGGCATTTTGGTCACAAATAAAGTACTTCCTGAGATGTCTGCAACATTACACCTGAGAAGTGCATTTTGTTCTGCATGGACAAAGAAAGGATACTTGTTGTCCCTTTCAAGATCAGAGGAATCATGAAACTCTTCTTCAATTTTCTGAGAAGGAAAATCATTCCAGCCTATAGCTACTACATCATCTCCCTTCAAGATTACACATCCTACTCCAGTTTTTGGCTCAACGGTGGCTTGAATAGTCATCGATGCTAATCCAAGCAGGTGCTTTGCTATCTGCTCCTGGTAGAGGTTATTTTCAGGATCAAATGATCCAAGTTCTCTCTCTCCAGTGAAGCCATAACCTGAACACCTTAACTTAGAACAAGTTAATGAGATATGGATTTGGGCCATCCACTTAACAAGATTTTCAAACTCACTGTACGACTGTTCAGTGGATTCACATATTAAATGTCTCACGCGTTCCTTACTCCAGAATCTTTTTAAAACATTCTCCGTGTACTCTTGAATGTCACTAAAAGGTGTTCCTTTAGTAAATGACTGTTGTTGTTCCTCGGTTGGTGTTCCTGAATAACCCTTCATTTGAGGCACAAGAACAGTTTGAGTGATTCCACAAGCATTAAGCAAGGTATCTACCCGCCTTTCTTCCTTTTCGTTGTAAAACTCGGTTTCAGCGGGCGGATATGTGATGGAAGTTACCCCAGACTTCGCTAACAGCTTAGAACAATACGGACATGGCTTCCGGGATATGTACATGCTGCAACTTTCTCAAATAGTGCCCCCCCCCCCCACTCAATCAAATGTGCTAAAAGTAAATAAGCACCTGGGGGATTTAATAAAGGAGTTGTGGGATTGATATTGTATATCTGGCACCAAAATTGATGGTCCTCTGAAACATTTTTAGGAGGCCCAACTGAGACAGGTGTCGAGGGAGTTCAGCCTGCAAAACACTCCTCCACAAAGAATTTGGCCAATTTTGGACACATTTGTACATCTATGTGATGCATATAATGACAAGTCCAACAATTTATACTTGACAGCTACAGCACTGCATAACAGTCTGATGGCTATACTGCTTACAGGATAAAATTTTCACAGATTGGGCCATGAAAATCTCTTTTCTTTTGTTAGCGGTGCCTACAGTTTTAAGACTTTCAAACTATATTATATTTTATCTATTTTTTAAGTTGTAAAAGGAGCCTGAAATACAACCGTACATTACAAGTAAATTCAGGTTCTTTGCTTCTACCTTCTTAAAAAAAAAACCTTCTCTTTTTACACAACAATATTTTTTAACGTGAAATGTTAGTGTCAGACACTTGGAATGTACAGTCTCTGCTGGCTTTTCTGCCTGAAAGCTTAATTCTTGGTTTCAGATCAGTTCATAGCAAATGAAATTACCTTTACCGACCTCTTGTTGAAACACTTCATAATTGAGTTTATATTTTTCTGTTATTGGTTCCAGTGAAGTTGCCAATACAACAGTCCCAATACCTGCAACCTTCACTAAAGGTGTGCATTCATGACATGGCATTTTGGTCACAAATAAAGTACTTCCTGAGATGTCTGCAACATTACACCTGAGAAGTGCATTTTGTTCTGCATGCACAAAGAAAGGGTACTTGTTGTCCCTTTCAAGATCAGAGGAATCATGAAACTCTTCTTCAATTTTCTGAGAGGGAAAATCATTCCAGCCTATAGCTACTACATCGTCTCCCTTCAAGATTACACATCCTACTCCAGTTTTTGGCTCAACGGTGGCTTGAATAGTCATCGATGCCAATCCAAGCAGGTGCTTTGCTATCTGCTCTTGGTAGAGGTTATTTTCAGGATCAAATGACCCAAGTTCTCTCTCTCCAGTGAAGCCATAACCAGAACACCTTAACTTAGAACAAGTTAATGAGATATGGATTTGGGCCATCCACTTGACGAGATTTTCAAACTCACTGTAGGTTTGTTCAATGGAATCACATATTAAATATCTTACGCGTTCCTTACTCCAGAATCTTCTTAAAACATTCTCCGTGTACTCTTGAATGTCACTAAAAGGTATTCCTTTAGTAAATAACTGTTGTTGTTCCTCGGTTTGTATTGCTGAATAACCCTGCATTTTAGGCACAAGAACAGTTTGAGTGATTCCACAAGCATTAAGCAAGGTATCTACCCGCCTTTCTTCTTTTTCGTTGTAAAACTCGGTTTCAGCTGGCGGATATGTGATGGAAGTTACCCCAGACTTCGCTAACAGCTTAGAACAATACGGACATGGCTTCCGGGATATGTACATGCTGCAACCCATAGTTTTGTCATGATGTTTGACAAGCAAACGAGCTACTCCGTGGACGCCTTCACGACTACGATCAACTGCAACAATGTACTCCTTTTGATGAACAAGAACGCAACCAATTTTTCTGTACGAATTTGATGATTGATCGATTGTTTTAGGCGAATCAGAATCAGGGTGATGTGCAGGTTCAGGAAACATTTCCATACACATTGCCATTGTTAAAAAAAGAGATTCCCTGCAGATTCCAATGTTTACTCGCCTCTTTAATGTACTCATTTTATTATCGCTGGTGACTGCACCGTTGCCGTCACTGGAAGGCGTTTTCAAAGCATTTTCATCCTCCTTTACATTTGGCTGCGTGTTGTCCGCCATTTTTGGATCGATGGGCGGGAGTACCCGGGCACTTGTCCCCAAGCTCTCTCTTTTTTCGGTGACACGCTCCTTTTACTGACTGGTAGCTGGAGGAGGTTTTTGGGCGGTGTGTTTGTTATTTGGTGTTTCGCTAAGTAAGAGTTACAGCCGCGCGAAAAACTAACCGAGGTCGAAACTGAAAACGATGGGGGAGTAAATAGCCGTTTTTCCTCGCTCCGGGATGAAGAGCGAGGAGAAACGGCTGTTCAGTCGCAGGCTAGTGGGCGAGGGGAGAAGGCAGTGATTCGTCCTCGGTTAAAAAAGCTTTCGCACGGCTGAATTTCTTACTTTACGAACCGGAAAAAAAACAAATGACAAATAACAACAACAAAACACGCCAGCTGCGCAGGCTATATGAAACGCCGAGTACTTTGACTGCATTCTTCAAGTTCTTACACTGTCTTTTTGAGGAAATATTTTATCCAGTTTCCTTGCAGATATGAACTTGGCATTACGGTGTATTAATAATTATTCCTCGAGCCCGAATGGGCTCTGAGTCAATAGCCCATTCGGCCACTCACAGGCCATGAGGGCGAGAGGAATAATTGTTTTAGTAAAATCCAACTAATTGTTGAAAAATATCGAGAATAAAAAAATTTTAGCTAGTTAAAGGTAGACTTTAATCCTTTTTTGCCGCCAAAAAGCGCGCGCTTTTCGCTACTAGTAGGCTATAACATATAGCCTAGTAGTACCTCAACCAATCAGAACGTAGCATTGATAATAGACCACTAGCTGGATTTTACTAACACTTATTATACCTTACGTTTATTCTGGAAATTCCATGCAACTAATTACTTGTTTCGCGCAACTGTTAGGTTTAAAAATCATTGCCTAACGGTACCAAAGCTGAATTGCGAAAAACTTGCTGTTTGTAGGTACTTTCCCGAACTGCCGATGAAAAGTGTCCGATAAAAGCTAACTGTGCAGTTCAACGTGCTATTGACCTATTATCGCAATAAAGATTACACTCACCTGGGCCAGCCGCAATAACAATCACTGACCCCCAACAAATAATGATCACTCACCTAGCAACGGAGCGTTTCCACATGACGTCACAGCGGTCCTATTGGTGTTCGCAAACGATGAAACGCACTCACTACAATTTTTAAACACAGAAACCAAGAGAGAATAATCTAAATTTATTCTCTCTTGCATAATCCGAGACCACGCGCGAGCAATTGACCGCGCAGGTTTCTACTGTAAATACCGTCGGTTGCAGCCGAAGTGTGGATACGCACAGGTGGCCCAAGTGTGAGAGTTAAATCTTTAAAATCGTTTACCTGAATTCCCATACAAATCCTTTATGTTCACGGCAATTTGAAGGATTATGCAATATGAAACCACGTGTATTAATGATTAAACTCTCCCACTAAGCTTGGGCCGCCCGTGATCGAAGATTTACCAGTGGCTACTTGTAACATCTCGGCTTCTTTCTCGTCAGTACAGGCGTGAGGAAAATTTAGGTGACACTTACAGACTGGCTGGATCTTTGGAAATGTAGCGCATAATTTTCAGCTATTATAACTGCTGGCGTCTATGGAATCAGCCAATGACATGAGCATATGCAAAATGTTTGCGTGAGTCGAAGTTAAACGCAATAATCAACGTCTTCCTTCGCATTATGTCGGAAAAAACACCGAACAAACAAAGAGCCGCCATAACATAGAAAATGGCTATGAATGAGCCCAGTTACTCAACGAACCAGGTAAGTGATGTGTATTTCTACAGTTATGCCTTTATTTCTACTTTTTGACAACCGTTTTAAATTTCTC